TTCATCTCTGTAAATGTGTACAATCACTAAATAACAAAGGGTGTAAAGTCAATCCCAGGATAGTTCACAACTCCAGATCACATCAATGGCTGATGTGCTCGATTAGCCTACCAATGTGGATTGGAGTGCTAACTCTGTCATCATTGTCTACGTGTAACCGCAGACTATCCAAAGAGGTTGTTGGAAGAAGTCCCACAAGGCAAAGAGTTAGTCCAATTTTTTGGGGAATTGCTATTAAGGGGAAAAAATACTGTATTGAAAAGGCAACTTTGCAGTTTCAACAAACCGGTTTCAACAGTCCGTTGAGTTACCGCTACCGTAATCCACTTGGCACTGGAGCGCGCAGCTACACAACTGCTGTGTACCCACACGTTTCAGCATCAACGTGAGAGGGTATAGTGCCTCGCACGAGTGCACAATTACCCTCCTCCACCACAGCCGCCCTTGGGCCACTATCTAAAATAAGAACCGCTTCCGCGCTTTCGCGCGCTGTGGTGCCTTCAAACCCCTTTGCCGGCAAGTTCGACTACCTGCCACACTCCACCTATATACCAGCACAGACACTCCGTACAAGAACCAGGTTCTACAACGTCCACTTCGTCGCCGTGGAGTGCGCGGAAAAACGACAAAAGGGCACGTCAAGTTGAAATCAAAGACACGTGGCATCGCGCGCCCACCAGTCACGGGTTACGGTTGTGGTCACTTATCGGACTTCGTAATCATCTTAATTCAGTTTCACAGCGCTAGTCTAGAATTGTGAGAGGTGCTCAGAAGCACAACTTGAAGTGAGCATACAATTGCATAGCATAGGGGGCATCGAAATGCTAACGTCTTCAGTTTCGCAACGCCCTTCGCATTAACTCTAGGATGTTCACTTTCATGAATTTTATGTGGGGTGAGGCAGGGACCAAGAGGGTGATTGGAAGAAGGTGGTAGCAAGTGATCCTAGTATATATAATCGGCTAAGCGGTTGTGTGTGTGTCTGACTTCATAACTTCGGTCCCTTCGGTCGCCGAGCGCTCAAACTTTCAGGTGGTACGGGGGGCTGGACACGAACATCAATGGGGAGTGACCGGAATTGATAACTACTGATAGCAAGCCTGATAACGGACGTCGGAAAGCAGATATCACCAATTTTGCTACGCCATTCGCGTTGACAGTGGAAGGCTTCACTCATAAGTGTTGATTGCTGTGTGACGGGGACCCCGATTAGAGAGCGAAGAATGGTGATAGCAAGTGATAAGAGATGACAACGGCCGCCGGAATGCAAAGGCCACCAGTTTTGTTGCTCTCCTCGCATTGGCAGTAACATGTTTGAACCCATTCGTATTATGTGGGGTGAGGCGGGACCATGAAGGTGGTGAAAGAACTTGGTGGCAAGTGATAAGAACTGATAAGGGGCGTCAGAGTGTGGATACCACCAATTTCGTCGCGGCCTTCGCAGTGACATTAGATTTTGGCTCTTACATATGGTACGGAGAATCTTATGTGAACACGAATGATGAGTGATCAAAAGTGATAACAATCGATAACGGCTGATAACGAAGTCCAGAATTGATTACCATCAAATTCGTTGTAGTCTTCGTGGTGACAGTAAAACCTTCGCTTCTACATGTTCATAGGGGTTGGACGGGAACAACGGTGCTATCGGTATGAACGGTGACAAATGACAAGGAAGTGATCGTCTGATGCAAATGCTACAAGTTTGTTGCAATTAACACTGCAAAGCGATCATAGCGGCAAGGCTAAGCCAGGTTCTTAGCACGTGAATATACTTCATTTCTACCATTTCACCAAATGGTGCAATTGGTGCAAAGAAAGTTGAAAACGCTCAACTATCTGGACCAGGACCAATGACAAGTTATCATCAGAGCTGGGTTAGTTGCAGATTGAATGGTCATATCTCACTCTTTCAGCGATACTCACAGCATTAATTCACCAGACCCCTAAATCATCCAAACGCGACATTAATGCTGATGTTTACGAAGTCGTGATAAGCCATTTTCATTCCGCATGCTGCGCGTGCACTAGCGCGTATCAGTCTTCAGCGGAATTTGCAGCTTTTGCATTTTATCAGGAGCATTTTCAAAGCAGCTCAATAACTTCTCAGCCATGTGACCTAACAGTCCAGTTTCATTGAAGCCCACCATATGATGCGTACGAATGTGTGCGGAGCTAAACTGGTAAACTAATAAGGGGCATCGAAGTGTGGACACCACAAGTGCCGTCGTCGCTTTTGCAGTAACAGAGAACCTTATACAAGTGGCATGAGGGATAGGACGGGGACACGGATAGTGATTGGTCGAAAGTGATAACAACTGATAACAGTTTATGAGGGAGTCAAGACTGAGCACCACTAATTTCGTTGTAGGCTTCGTGGCGACAGTGAAACGCTAAGTCCTACAAATCGCATGGGTGTGAGACGGGAACACCGATGGTGAACGTTATGAAGTGATTTCAAATAATAAGGAACGATAAAGAGCGTCTGAATGCAGATGTCCCAACTTCGTTGCAGTCATCGCTGGCAAACGATCAAGGGAGCGAGGTGTTGATGGTGGGTTACAGGAGGGATAATGAGCGTCAACCATACTGATAAACGTGGCAGCAGCTGAGTGTGCGCTCATTCATATTGAGCCAGGTTCTTAGCACGTGAATGTGTTCAGCTCCTAACCTTTCACCCAATAAAGCTAAAGAACCTGGGCCACTCAACTCTCCGGACTGACCATTAGCGAATTTCCATCAGAGCAAGGCTAGATGCTGGCTGATTGATCGTATTTCACTCCCACACCGATACCCTAATTGTGAAAACTATAGACCGCTAAATCATCCGAGCTCGATATGAATGCTGAATGTTTACGAAGTCGTGATAAGCACCAGCTTCATTCCGCACGCGATAATATTCGGCAAAATGAATTTTTGGATATCATCTGACGCATCTTTCGAAACATATTACTATTGGTTTCTCGGTCACGTGGCCTAATATTTTGCGAGTTGTCCAGTCTCACTGAATCCCACATGTAATGCGCGCAGTCGCGTGCGGAGCTGAACTGGTTGTCAATAATTCAGTATTTTCACTCCTTTGTCAATAGAGTTTTTGGGCGCCCATGGCCTTTGGGGGACATTCGAATCAGGGCATTCGAAAACAGCGATTAGGTGACTGTTTATATGTGCTGGTGTATGCGTGTGTTATGTACGTGTACGTGTACTATGTGTGTACGTTGTGTATGTGACTGCCTGTCTGTAGTGAAAAATGTGCTCATGTTGGTATGAGTGTATGTGTGTGTCAAGAAATTCATAGCGCGCGTCCCAGCAGCAGTGAAGTGTTGGTTCGAACAAGTGATGTGGAGGATAGCACAGAAACCTTCTTTGATGGGATTCAAAAAGTAATAAGACTGATAAGAGCTGATAAGAGGCGCTAGAACGCACACTTCACAAAATTCACAATGAGCGTTCCAGCTGCAGTGAGGGTTGGTTTCGACAACTGTTATAGAGGGAGGGAGGGAACATTTGTGGTGGGGGACAGAAAGGGATAACGGCTGATAAGGACTGACAACAATCATGCGTATAAACGTAGAGGTCACTCGAAACCAAATTCGACATAACGCTTTAACATTTCAGTTACATTTCTTTGCTTTGTTATCCTTAACACAGAAACCATTCGACCGTTTCACTCCTAGAGTTACTAAAATTTACGGTGGATGTTTGGATAAACATGATAATGAGAACCGGATATTTCCGTTTCAAATTCATTAACGTTGACGGTTCGCCGCCAAAATAATCTGACATTTAATGCATGTGTTTACAAACACCAGTCTAGCTCCATATCCGCGCGTATCAAGCGGAGGTAGCTAACGCACTTCACTGAAAATCTTATTTCTTATCTGTAAACCTAACCATTTACCAACTTTTTCGGCAAAGTGATGTGTGATGCGCGCGGTAGCGTGCGGAGCTAACCTGGTATTGAAATGAAATGCCTTATCTAAAGTCTGGTTTCGAGTGACTTTTACATTCTACACATACATATCGTTATTGTCGTCCCGTATCAACCGTAATCACTTAGAATCCCCTACCAAATATGATCCCGCCCTATCCTCCACATCACTCTTGGAACCAACGCCCCACTGTTGCTGGGACGCGCGCTATGAATCTTCTGAAATTTGCGTTCTGGCGCCTCTTACCGAATCTTATAAGCCGTTATCACATTCTGACCCTCACCAAATATGATCCCGCCCTATCCTTCACATTACTCTTGGAACCAACGCCCCACTGTTGCTGGGACGCGCGCTATGAATCTTCTGAAATTTGCGTTCTGGCGCCTATTACCGATCCTTATAAGCCGTTATCACTTTCTGACCCTCACCAAATATGATCCCGTCCTACCCTCCACATCCTTGGAACCAACGCCCCATTCTTGCTGGGACACGCGCTATGAATATCATGAAATTGGTGTTTTGGCGCCTCTCATCAGATCTTATCAGTCGGTATCACTTTATAAACCCCACCAAATATGTTGCCGTCCCCCTACACCATACTCAAAATACAGCGTTCCATGCCTGCAGCGAAGCGCGCTATGAATTTCGTGACAGACGGACGTACGTACAGACAGACACACACACTGACAGACATACTCAGCGAATTATACATAGTAGGATAATTCCTGCAGACTACCACCAAACAGCATGATCTTGCAACTCCAGCTTCGAGAAATGTTTTACAAAATGGAAGTGAATTCCGTTTTGTCACACTATTTTGATAAGGTAAATATTGCTCAGAGTTAAAAATGGCGATTAGGATAATGGTGTAGAAGGAAAGCGACACCTATGGACGAATGGACAAGTAAATATCAGGTTGTAAGGAAAGTTCTGGCCGTTTGCGCGCGTGTGCGATATAAAATCAAATTTGGTCGTGTGTCCAATTAGACCAATCGATACTGTGTACTAAGGTGAACAATGGATCGCTTCTAAAAAAACACCTCCCTAAATTTTCATAATGTTTTGAAAATGATGGGAACGTTTTCCTGCAGCACGAATAGGACTGCATTTTCAACGGTTTTACTTCATGAGTTCAAACTTGGTCCAACGGCGACGGAGGCAACCACAAATGTAAACATGGCTTGGGGAGAAGACACTGCATCGGGGCGAGCGGTTCATCGCTGGTTTCAAAAGCTTGGAAATGAAGACGATTTTTTGGAAGACAAAAAGCGAGCTGGCCGACCATCGCTAGTTGATCACGAAGTTTTGACGAAAGCAGTTGTAAAGGAACGACGTCGTCTTTCGAGTGAGATCGCCAGGAATTTATTTATTTATTTATTTATTTATTTAAAACTGCACTTTAGGTGCGCCCAAAACAATACCAGGAATGTCGGTGTTTTCCACACAGTTGTTGCTGATTACCTTAAACGGCTTGGAATGTTCAAAAAACTTGACAAATGGGTGCCGCATCACCTCATGGAGCAGCAGCAGGGAGACGCCTGGAGGTTGTAAGTTCGCTCTTGGAAAGGAACGCTATTGATACATTTCTTCATAGGATCGCAACATGTGATGAAGTTTGGATATTATATGCTAACTAGAAATGTTCTGCTCAGTGGGTAGCTAAGGGTGAACCTCCGAGAGCTTTCCTCAATTTGCGTCTACACGTCAGGAAGACAATGGTTACAGTTTGGTGGTCTTATCAGAGCTTAATTCATTACCTTTCTTCCAGCTGATCAAACCATCACCGCACAGCCCTACTGGGATCAAATCCACGAAATGTGCGCAAAACTGGAGCGCGCAACCAGCACTGGTGAATCGCCATGATCCACTACTCCCGTACGACAATACGCGACCGCATGTTTCACAAGTTCCATAAGTTGAACAAGTCGCGGTTCAAAGCTCTCTCCATCCTACATACTGAACAGATCCAGCATCAACCGACTTTTTCAAACATCTAGATAGCTTCTTAAAAAATCGAGTATTTGAAAATGAAGAAGACGTGAAAACTGCCTTTCTCGAACTTTTGGGATCCAGACCGCCAGACTTTTATAAGAATGGAATAATCAAAGCCGTATCACGTTGGCAATGTAATGATTCGAGTGGGCTTACTTTGAATGAAACTGTTCACTGCTAGCGCAGTTATGATTTTGAAGATGAGCTGTCGAAACGGGCAGAACTTATCTTTCAACCTAATAATTACGTGATCGCTTACTGGCCTCAGCGATCCGAATCGAACACATGCAATTTTATTCGGATGTGCGATTTGATCTTTGAGCATTGCCCTTTTCATTTTGCGATAATCAATCACACTCATTTTTTTCTAGGTGTTACACACATCGAAAGAAACAACGTTAAGCAAATCCAAAAAGGAGGCTTATCAACGGAGGCGTCGACCGTCAACCAGTACTGCGCGTTTGTTTCCAAGCGCCTCAAGGGCTTCGATGTCATCTAGCGTAGATAGTGTTCAACACAAGCGAAAGGAAGAGGATAAAGGTAAGAGCTGTGAGGAATTTTGGACGCAGGTGTAGTTTGAGGAAGGGCATAAAGACCTAAATGTTGAAAACATTCCTCAATAATCCAGGCCATTTTTTCCGATAAATTGGAAATAATTTTCTGCAATAACTAATCCAGTTTCTCACAAAGGGGGCACTACAGGGTGGGTGAGCCACTTTGGGGCTCAAGATGGGAGCTATGCGAGTATGGAAATGGAAACGATCGCCATGGCTTTGAGAGTCTGATGCTCTGTTCCACGATAGCGTGCACTTCAAACTCGGCGGCTGTGATTGCAACAGCAATGCGACTGCAGTTTCACGCTTGTGAACTGCATCTGTTTGCGCGGTTGTGCAATTGTACAACGATTGACAACCGCTACTGGCGATGGTTCCCACAAGATTATAAGTTTAGAACATAGGATGTATATCGTTACCCATATCAGCGCTAGGGCGCAGCGCAGTCCTCCCGCAAGCGACGCTGCTAGCAGTGTTGTTAGGTTGTGAGCGAATACGTGCAGCGACGCTACATCGGCGCGCAGCGATACAAAAATGGAAAAGCGTCGCAGCCTTCGCTTCGCCACTTACGCGGCGAGGCGAATGCTGCACGCGCTCGGGCAGCGGCGGTAATCTTCCACGTGCCGCCTCATCCCAATTGAGGCCAAATCGTCGTGCGTGCTATCTGTTCTCCGCGTTCTTGATCAATTGCGCCTAGTATAGGTGGTGAGTTTCCACGAGGCATACTCTCTTCAGAGAAGCAATAAGTGGGTGCCGAGCCCACATGGAAAATCAATGACACGTGACACGCGCCCCAGTGCAACGTCGAAAGGGTAACGGTATACAGCCTATGTTCCTGAACTTGTGTATAATCTTGTATGGTTCCCACGATCAGTACGCAGAGTCCGTCACGCTCTCTGTTGTCAACATCGCTAGTTGCGATTGCTTTTTTGCGATAGCAACGGCGCGAATCGCCTTGCTGTCGCAGTTGCACAACCGCCGATGACTACGACCTCCCTTTGCTCCCCTCAATCAGTGGGATCACAAAGTCCGGTGAGTGACCGCAACCGTAACACGTTTCTGGTTGGCGCGCAACGCCACGTGTCATCGATTAGAATTCGACATGCCCTTTTGTCGTTTTTCCGCGCACTCTACGGCGACAGAATGGGCGTGATAGAACCTGGCTCTTGTACGGAGCGTCCATGCTGGTATATGGGAGGACTATGGCAGTTGGTCGAATGTGCCGGCAAGCGGTTTAGCCGGCACCCCGGGGTTAACCTCCCTTGCCTGCGCGCGAAGCGCGCGCAGCCGCGAGTGCTGCGTGTATTTTTGGATAGTCGCCCAAGGGCGGCTGTGGTGGAGGGGGTACTGTGCACTCACCAGTGAGGCGCTATACCCTCTCACGTTGGTGCTGAAACGTGTGGGCACACATCAGCAGTGTAGCTGTGCGCTCCGGTGCCAACGTGGATTACGGTAGCGGTCATTCACCGGACTGTTAAATCCGGCTTGTCTCCCCTCATATCATTTAACACGTTGACGACAACGTGGGTTTTCGCTTCTTTGGCCGCGTGGGACCGGCGCGATTTTGCGAGCGCTGCCGCCTCAGGTCCTTCAGGAGAACTTTGCGTACTGAATGCATAAGACATGATTGATGCAAAGTTAGATTAATATTTTTCAGTGCATAGAAGCACCCCAGAGATACAGTAGTGAAATTTTGATCGAAATATGGATGGGAAAGTAGTGAAGAAGCAAATTTTGTTAGAATCAGCTGCAAATAACGTCAAAAGCAATTTTGCATCGATTGTTGCAATCAAAACACATATCTTGCCATCCTTGAGGTTCCGTATTGACTTATACTTCCCTTTGAATATTCACATTCATGAGAAGGAAATGTAAACTAGAAATCAACTAGATTGACAACTTCGTTCGGTTCAAAAGACCTCCCCTAAATTGAAGCACACGTGACCATTTTACGAGCGACTATAATTGTATCTACGCCAAGGTTTTCTCTGAGGAATGAATGCAAGAAGCCTAGAAATAAATCACGTGTGCGAGGAAAAAAATGAGTGCATTGGGTGCAGGACACATACGTCCCGCGTTGTCCGTCATGGCCTGCAAAGTGCGGGGCGTATGTGTCCTGCGCTGTCGTCAACGTGTTAAGCCAAAGGCTGTTGTATAGGGTTGTTTTTGGTACCACAGCCTGTATACTCGAGATCCGCAAGTTGGGGTAGGCGTGTCACCGGAACTGACGTGTACTTGATAGAATCTATGTGGATAAGGTGCTTCCAATATATATCGCGAGATATCAGCAAAGCATGTTGGCAGCGACTTACCTACGCAACCTCCACCAAGTCCACGTCATGTCCGGTGACACGCCTACCTCAACCTACGGATTTCGAGTATACAGGCTGTGGGACCAAAAACAACCCTATAAAACAAGTCGTCAAATCACAATAAGGCGCCTAAAAATGTCTTATGTTCGTCTCGCACGACTCAGTTTGAGCTCAGAACTTACAAAAGAAATACCTACAAGAACAGGAACTCGTTTCTACCTTTCATTTGGAAATAGTGGGCCTGTTATAAGCAGAACAAAGCAAAGGGTATTCACCAACTGACTAGGACATCATTCTAAAATCACTATAAGGAAGAGTTTTCCCCACGACTTTTGTAATCAAAACATGCTATCATGTGCAAACACTTCGCCCCAGGGGCAGTGAAAACACATCTTTAGCGTACCATTAAATTGCGTCTCCGGTTACAGTACCAAGGCATAACTACACCTTTACTCAGCTTAGTTTCACTAGATTTGATTTAGGTGAAATACTGCCTGCAGTGTGAAACAAGCATTGGTCTCTGGTAAGCAAGACATGGGCCCGCCGGGGCTGCGGGCTAACTCACCTTCGTGACTTACTCTGGAAGAGAATCGTTCACATTACTTTTGCCTGGGTTGTGCCTTCGAGGGGCGAAAGAACTGATAATCAGAGGGGCGATGCAGGGGAAGGGAAGCCGTGGATAATCCCAGCTCTTTCACTTTTGCACGGGTCTCTTTAGCTATAAACGGCCTGGCATTATCACGGAGCAGGTGGACAGAAGCTCGTCCCGGTCTTTTTCTCAAGCAGCGTAAGCTACTTTCTTAAGCTGGTTGCCGGCGACGGTATGCCCGTGCGGACGCAGCTAATAATACTACCTTTCTCAAACCCTAGAAGCAGCAAAGAAGGACGGATCATAAGCGATAGCATGATTGTCATGGGGGATCCATCGGGCAAGCACTTCTCTGTGGCAAGGGCATGGAGACAACCGAGGGTTGTTGGATGGGTATGACCGAGTCTTTTCACGATTTGGCTAGTGCTTACCTCTGTTTGATTCTAACTCTTCGATTACGTCGGGAATGGTGCGGTCTTCCACTGTTTGGGACGCCCCAACCGTGATTTGGCTTCGGAAGTCGTGTCTCCTCCTTTGAAACGTGCTAACCAGTGCTTTACTCTGCTTGGGCAGGTGCTGTCGTTGTTGATGTTGTGGACGACCATAGTTTCATTGCTCTCCTGTGCCGTGACCAATTCATAGAAGATGATCGCTATTGGAATTGACATCGTGATCAAAATTGGGGGAAGGGAACTCGGCTATATATTCCAATTGTGAAGAAACATGATCGATAGCCATGGTCTGCCACGTGATAAAACATTGACACTGATTAATAATCAGTTTCAATTTTCGAAAAGATCGGCTCAAGACTCTTCTACCATCCCAAGAATTTCAAGCCAAGAAAAGTGCCAGAATAGTCCTAGTAAGGAACCATAATGAATAACGAGAAATCCTTTTGCACTTGATACTCTAGTATCGCTAAATAGGAACGTATTCGCAGTGTAACACAGCAGATATTTGCTGCTTCCCCAATCATTTTCTTGTTCCCTCCCCATCTTAACCTTCTCCTTCTCCCCATCTTGACAAAATGTCCATCACCGTGTCCGCCTATCTGTGTGGCTCATTCTGGGAGACGAGAAAAATGCATGCCGTGACTTGAGCTAAATGCGTTCTCGCGAGGAGTAAGCTGATGGTCTAGGCACTTAAGTATAATCATATTTTTCTTCTTTGGTCTAAGATACGCAGTCGCCAGCTCCACTCTTTCATCCTTGTCGATGAATTTTAGGTGAGAACTGTAGTGCTTTGAGGGGCGCACCACGGTCGATGAATATGTGCAGCGGGCCAATAAAAAAAAGACATCCGTCACATCTGAAAACGGAATTGATCACACCTCGCTAAATTCATACCAAATGGGCCTTTAAAAATAGTGGCCTCCTGCGGACGACATCAAAAGGATCTGCTCCGGAGGAATGGTGC